CCTGAGAACACCATCCCAGCTGTGGAGCACGGGGGTGGCAGCATCATGCTGTGGAGGGACTGGTGACCTTCACACAATAGATGGCATCATGAGGAAAGAACATGATGTGGAGACACTGAAGCAACATCTCCAGACATCAGCAGGAAGGTAAAGCTTGGGCACTAATGGGTCTTCAGGCATCTGGAAGTTGTACCCAAGGATGAACCAGACTGGTGGAGGTCCACAGTTCTCTTCCTGATATCTTGGCTGTTTTCTTTAGATGTTCCATGTTGTCACAAAAGGAAGCAGTGTGTTTGAGGTGTGCCTCCAATTAATTCAGATGTTGTCAGTTAACCAATCAGAAGCTTCCAGAGCCATGACATCATCATCTGGGCTTTCCCAAATAGTTTGAAGGCATCTTAGTGGATGTAAACTTCTGACTTTGAAGAAAGTAATAAAAGACTCTCCGTCTCATTATTCAGGTGTTTAGCAAATAGAAATAATGTTGGTGATCCTGACTGACCTGAAACAGGAAATGTTTAGTCTGATTTAATGTCAGACTGTGAGAAAAAAAAAAAGGTTTTATGTCTTTTTATACAGTAATTGTAAACTTCTGGTTTTAACTGTGTATATGCTGTATATACCCTGTGATAGACTGGTTACCTGTCCAGGTGAACCTGCCTTCACCCTGAGTCAGCTGGGTTAGACTCCTGCCCTCTGCGACCCTAGTAAGGGCTAAGATGGGACAAGAACTTCAAAATCTCAGATTCATTATGTAAACCCATTTCCATAAAAAGTTAGAGAATTATCAACTTGTCTCATTGCCGTTATTCACCACAGCAGACCACAACCTAACATCTGCCAGAACATATTAAAGAAAGCACTAACATATGAAGCACCCACAGCCTGTCAAAGCTATAAAAAGAGATCCAGAATTAGAAGGATGCAGTTGATGCTGCTTATCCCCAGAGCGATATCAGACACAACACATCTGTAAAACGGATCAGGCTTCATGTGAGGAAAACATTCTTCCTGCTGAGCAGTGCCCCTCTGCTTGACATGGAATGCCCTGGCTTTAAAATCAAATGTGCAACATGCACATACAATACACAGAAATAACAGCTGAGCACAGTTGGAGCGGTTAAGATGGAAAACATGGCTCAGTGCCTGCAGCGCCGATATTCACTGACCTGACAGAAAACGTATTGAATTTCTTGGGAAGGCGAATCAGGAGTTGATGCCTCGACATGAGAGAGGCTTCAAGCTTCGGTGTCTGTCTGCACCTCAAAGTGTGAGGTGATTCATTAAAGGTTTTTCTTTGTCCAAGGAAGAAGCTCACACCACCGTGTTGCTCATCGGGATCCGCAAAGAGGCCCGGTCGCAAGTGCTGAACCTGTCCAGGAACAAGCGCTACACCCTCACCCCGGAGCAGCTCAAATGGGACAAGTTCAAGCTGACATACAAGTATTCATTTGCAGTTTCTCTTCTAGTCAACCCAACAGCTGCAGAAAGTAGAAAAAAGCAGAACAAATACTCCTCAGAATGTAGATGAAAAGAACAAGGATGAGGGGTTGATTCTTTAGTTTTATCAGGAAGGGGAGGTCATGAACTGTTCATAACAGATGGTGGTAGCCTTCAGGTCTGAACAGGGAAGCCAGGAAGTGACTTCAATCTGTATTCTTTCTCATTTCCAGCAGGGGGAGACGACTTTGGTTACAAAAAGAAGTCCGATTATGTAGAAGTCTGTGAGAAAATGAAAAAAAATATGACAGTCTGTGGATGAAGTAGGCAGGAGCAGATATGTAATGCCATTCTAGACATCTTGTAATCTGATTACTGCTGAGGTGGGTTAGCTGCACTTTAAAGGCACACCTCATCCAAAACCATCATCTCAGTCAAGAGATGATCCTGTTGGTTAGCATCAAAACCCCTCTGACGTGGACAGGACAGCAAGAGCAGCGACAACAGCAGTGTCACTGACGTATACGTTCAGGTTTGAATTTTTGACTATGTTGAAGAAAAGTGTTAGAACTTTAGATCTCACTCTGCTCTGATGATGAGGACACGGAGTCAAATGTTTATTCAGACCTGATGGTTGTGGAGCTATTAGTGACTGAATCTGAGTATTTTAAAGAGAGAAATAAATATATGAATATATATATATAGTCTGGTGCTGAGGCTAAACTCTGTCCACCAAAAGTTTGTCAAACCACCAGAAGTTGGCGTTCTGATCGAGCAGCGTACAACCCTCTGCTTACGTTTGTCAAGAGAAAAGTGAAATCGCCCTCACACTGCAGTTGCTTGGCTTCAGAACATTTGGACTGCACTGACAGTCTGGAGAAGTTCCAGTGACTTTAGTCTCTCTGGAGCTGTGAAATTACACCTTCAAGTTCTTTATGGGACGATCAGATCGTACATCACTGGGTTTGGGTGATCCGACAAACGTCAGAGAACACCAGACATAAAGCAGACACGTAGCCAAATGTGTGTTAGTTAAATGCACGATACCAACTGATTAATACGCGACCTCTGTTTCTTAAAGCTATCAATGTTAATGTAGCCCTAGTTGACATATAAAATAATATTAAGTCTTAGTAATGAAGCTGTACTTGCAGTGCTTGTGGGAATTGTGCTGCGTCTGAACAGTAGCCATTGTGTTTTGGCAGAAAGCTCTGCTGTAGCGGAATGCGTACAGAGACCAGTATTAACTTCATAACGCTGTTGTGTCTGAGCAGGTTGCTCTCCTTTCCTACAAACTTGATAAATGCCAGCGACACACGGCGAGGCATTGCCAAGGCTTTTGGCATGTGGAGCGACGTCTCGCCGTTCAGCTTCAGAGAGGTGCCAGCTGACCAAGAAGCAGACATTAAGATTGGTGGGTACTGTGAATGTGGCTGTATCAGTCCCCGACAGATGTTCGTTGGCTCCGAGCTCCAGACTTCTGCTTTGTCGTTGTTTCTCTCTCCATGCTGTCATCGCCCAAATGTCTTTGCCTCCAAACTCATTAAATCACACCGCTGCGACTGTGTTACCGAGCTTATATTCGGCATGATTCATAATTCTAAATGAAAAAAAAATAAATGCTTAACAGCTTCCATACATGTCAGCCCATGTGAAGCGGTCTAAATTATGCTTTATCTGTCCCTTTGGGTGCAAACTCAGAGTCCGGCATAAATCCCAGTGACAGTGAGAGAAATGCTCGTCATCCTGTGCGGTGAGCGCTGCACAAAGAGCTCTGGTTTCTGTAATTGATAATGTCTGTTTTGGCAGGCTTCTACCCCGTCAACCACACAGACTGTTGGCAGTCCCACTTGCACCATTGTTTCGACGGCATCACGGGAGAACTGGCTCATGCATTCTTCCCGCCAACGGGCGAGATCCACTTTGACGACCATGAGTATTGGATTCTGGGAAACATGCGCTTCAGCTGGAAGAAAGGCGCGTGTCTTTGTCACGTTTGTTGAAACTCCCGATGTGCAACATATAACGACGGCTGCAGCAGACGCAGAACAACAAGCTCGTGTCAACGGCGAGAGAATAAAATCAACCGTGTCTTTGTTGCAGGGGTTTGGCTGACGGATCTCGTCCACGTGGCAGCTCATGAAATTGGCCACGTCCTGGGACTCATGCACTCCATGGACCCGAAAGCCATCATGCACCTGAATGCAACTCTGACGGGGCGCAAGCTGATCACGCAGGACGAGGTGTGGGGTTTGCACCGCCTGTATGGTGAGTTCACAGTAAACCCAATGTTTTGTACATTCTGCCAGAACAGTCCAGTTCTCCTGCTGGGATCAGACCAGGTGGTAAACCTCATAGACTGAGTGCTGAGCAGTCTTTTATAGTGGCAGACAGCTGATGTAGCATCTGGAAGCCCTTTTACATCCTGACAGAAGGAACAGCAGGTGACTTCTTCTGCCTTCTTTCACCTGGTTCGACAACTTAAACATGCCAAAGTGAAAGAGGAACAACGTCGGTGCCGTCCGGTCGAACAGCACAACAGTCCATCCCTGATCCCAGTTTCTCAGTCAGCTGTGTTCAGCCTGTGTGCTAGCTGTTTCTGGTCACATGCAGTCTGCCATCGCCGTCGGCCAAGTCCAAGCATTTAAGTAATGGCTTAATCTGACACAGTGACCATGTCAAAATGTAAAAATGTTTTGTAGTCTGATCCTAGCATTAGACGAATTCCATCTGGATGTACTTGCAGAGAAACAGCAGTACGAAACCTGTGATGCATATTTGGTCAAAAGCAGCTAGAATGTAGACCACAGTGTTTGTCTTTGATGACTGACGCTGAAAGCCAACGTGGCATTAATGAATACTGTATAAACTACTCATGAGTCATCATTAGCGTGTATTATGGTGAGTCATTTTAACTGGAACGAAAAGCAGACTGGGCTTCCAAATTCTTTTTGCTGCTGAGTGAGAGCTGCTGTCTGATCCACTCCTCCTCACTCCATCTCCCCCTCTCCTCCAGGATGTTTGGACCGGTTATTTATCTGTCCGGCCTGGGCTCGGAAAGGCTATTGCGACAGCAAGCGCAAGCTGATGCAGAAGCACTGCCCCTCCAGCTGTGATTTCTGTTACGGTAAGACGCAGCAGCAGCAGCAGCAGCAGAAAGCAGCAGCAGTCCAGGGAGAAAAAAAGAGAAGGTTTTCTCTCAATTGAGCAGCTCAAGGAGCTGCTGTGAACCGTTTGCCAATGGAGCAACAGGAGCCAACAGGTCCAGCAGTGCAGAGCTGCGATGGAGGTTTTCAAGAATCTGATCTGAAAGCAGATTACACTTGCCACTGGAGGAGTTTGTGTTTTACTTTTGGAGAATAGCAGCGTCCTCGGGGAGGCAAGTGCTTTTAAGCCAAAGAACACTGAAAGTCAAGGCGGTATCTGCTGATTGCTGTCTCAGTGAGCGCTGCTTTACACCAAGCATGACACATCAGCAGTCTGACAGGCTAAGCCTCTTTAGGTTTACTGCAGGATGCTCTGGTGCTGAGGTCTCCTGTTGCACAACAGGAAATGTCTCCTCTTAACCATCACAGCCCATAGATTGTTGTGGCTTTCTGAGATTTTTGTCAGCAACAAGGGACAGTGTGGAGAGAGGCAAGAGGATACGATTCCTGGCTCACAGTAATCTGTTCCTCATTGTTGATTGGGAGACGTTGTACGGCTGTGGAAAATTCCTGAGTGACTCCAAACCGCTGGAATTTCAGACTGTGGCTTGAGGGTTAGAGACACACAAGGTCAATTTGGATTTTTGCGGCATTAACGAGAACGACTGTTTTTTAAGCAGACTTTGAGTTGATCACAAGGCGGCCTGTTGTGTTTGTCAGAAACCAGATGGGAGAGATTATATTGATAAGACACTCGTGGCGCCGCCAGGTCAGCACACTGAGCGTCTGATGCGATAGCGTTTGCATCAAAAATCTGAAGGTTATGGCGAGGTGGTTGTGACATCTCCAGATTACTGTAACCTCGCATCTGTCGGCTCCTCTCTCTCCACTTAGATGCTCATTCAGTGGCCAGGAACATTGTAGGATCAGTATAAGTTGTGATTTCTAATTGTGGAGCACAAGCTAAAGTGTTTCCTTTCAATCCTCTTCAGAATTCCCTTTCGCCACTGCAGCTCCCACTCCGACTCCACCGAGGACCAAACATAAGCTAGTCGTCGAGGGCAAGAAGCTCACCTTCCGCTGCGGGAAGAAAATAGCATCAAAGAAAGGCAAAGTATAGTGAGTATATCTCTCTGACACACTATCGTCGGTACGATTTCGCCGTCTAACGTCTGACTCCTGTTGCAGCTGGTACAAGGACGGGGAGCTGCTGGAGTTCTCTCACCCCAACTACATCTCCTTGAAAGACGACCACATCACTATAGTGGCCAACGCCATCAACGAAGGCACATACACCTGCATCGTGAAGAAAAAAGACAAAGTTCTCACTAACTACTCGTGGAGGGTACGTGTGCGCTTCTGAGGGCCGCGGCAGCTCCTCTGCACACTGAGCAGGACACGTTCACACATGCGGTCAGCTGGAGACCTCATCCACTATGGGCACATGTTTTTTTTAAATGTCTTTTCCTGTATCTTCCACATACAGCCGTCTATTGTTGAACGTCACCGTGTAAATGCGTTTTCATATGTGCAAATAATAAATGTTCCATGACGTGTAGTAACTTTATGGAAAGTACGACCTGACTGTGAAGAACCGTTCATAGCAGACGCTGCATTTTATTTGGTGTTGAAAACTCCGGGCAGCGCACGCCAGCTGTTTGGGATGATACCGTCTAGTCTGGGTTCATCAAGCCTGGACTTTGTCAAAGCTCTCTCTGCTAAGGCGGCGCTGGTGTCCAAGGCCACCCACGGGACCATGGGGAGCCTCTGCAAAAGAAAACGGGGTCTAATTAGTTGGATAGCAACAGAGACTTCAGTATAAGGTCGTATTAAATCAGCCTAATGGAATGAGTGTCATTAAAAGAAACGTCCACGTCCCCAGTGGGTTTCTGTTTAGTGGCCTGAGACGTACAGGAGCTCCTGCTTAGATGCATGCCATTTGAATAATTTACACACTGACCAAACTAAGCTGCTAAAGCCAGAATAAGCAATGTTGTCTACAGCCTTTGGAGCTATTTGGACCTTAAACCGCATATGGAACACCTCAGACGTCTCGCGTACTTTACTAGCCTCACAGTGAAGCCAGGAGTCTGCCTCCGGAGACGGAGCAGTCGGTTCCACCAGCAGCTGTCCTTCCAAGCTTATTCAACACATCAGGTGTAATAATCTGCAGAAGGGGCTCTAGTGGGGGCAGGGGACAGATAAAACTGATTAATGAACATTTCCATTTGGTGCTGGCTCTGGAAGCCCCAGGACAAGAGGATTTTTCAGCATCTGTTCCAGTGAAAGCGGAGAGCTGTCTTGCAGGGACCAAGGCTCGACTGTTTATTTTTCTTTGGCTCAAAATCAAAGAATTTATTGGTTTAATTCTGAAGTTGCAGAGCCATTTAAAAACAAAGGCAGAGCAGAGTCGGGGCCTCTTTTCCCCTGAAAGAACAAAGTACTGAGACAAAGTGTGCAGTGCAAAGAATGACATCACTGTTGGACACTGACTACCAAGTCGGGTTGAAGGCTGGATTTCTTTTCGGCTCGACTTCCCTGCGCTTTTTCTCCTCTGGCAGTGTGCAGTTGTGTTTGCATAGCTTGGACAGAGTTTATAAATATAGGCAAAATGGCAGACAAAACAAAGTTTCAAACTTTATTTCTAGGAAAAACATCGTCTCCCTGTCATCGAGTGACTTGACATTCCCGAGTTAATGTCTAACATTATGCTGGATGGGACACGCAGCGAATGCTGCATCATTATACAGTAGCTCAGGCAGCCAGGAAACACACACCACTTATAAAATCTGGTCCTCTCTCATGAAGTATAAAAGCGAAACAAACAAAAGTCCGATATAAGGGCTGAACTTCTAACAGATTTATTGTCGTGTCTCCTCTTCAGGAGCTAAAACGGTCACATTGAAATAGCGAAATGGCTTAAAAACACAGAGAAACACCCGAAATTGGACATGATTAAGCCACCAGTCTTGCTGTGAGACAGTCCTGACTATTTGGTAACAGTGGTGACTGATCAGATACTGATCTGGCCTTTAGCTGTAAACCAGTGATGCCATCCGGCTCCAAACAAGTCCCAGAACGCCGCTCCATCCTCCTCCGTAGACAGCACCGTGTCCTGCGCTTTCAGGCTCAGAATTTGAGGCTGAATCCTGGGCCGACTGCAGACGCTCCCTGGTTGCTGGTCGTCAAGTGGAAGCCCGTGTCCTTCAGGTCATCGTCTCCCTGCAGGGTTACAAGGTTAACTCGTGTTAACTGCAGTCCATCACACCTCTGGCATCATGTGGCTTCACTGCTGGCATATTTATTACAGAACTGATCAACATTACACTGGTTAATCCCTCACCTGAATTAAACAACATCTTTGGTTGTGTTTCAACAAAAGTATGCATGAAGGTGTTGAATATTAAAATGATCATTGTTGTTATTCTCTCTGGTCTTCGATGTCGAGTCTTTATGTCCCGCCGTCTGTTTCACAAACCTTTCCACTCTTACAGAAAATAAAACTGAGACAAACAACCGATGCATCCGGCGTGGCCTGATTTGTAAAGCAGCACGTAGTACCACTGACTTAGTATTTGTCCGAAGCTTCCGAGTTTGTAGGACCACTGCTGAAAACATTAGGAACTGAAGGGTGCTCATCATGGAAAACACGAGGAGGAAATACGCGCACACAAAGCAGAAGCCTGTAGGTCTGTAATCTATTTAACACAGACAGCATTCAGAAAGCCTGGTAGCTGTATGTAATGGAGAAAGTGGAGCCTAATGTCCTTACCAGGTGACTGTAGCCCAGGCCTCCCTCGGGCGGACGAGGACTGGTGCCTCTCTTCACCCTCTGCTGCTCGCTCTTGGCCGGCCAGGTGGGGAACATGGAGGGGTCGATGGGCAGCGGCGTCTCTCTGAAGTACTCGTGTTTGAGAGCCTCGTCTGATAGGATCCTCTTACTGGGGCAATAGGTGAGAAATCTGGAAGACAGTCAACAATCGAGTTTGTATGGATGCGCTTCAATAAAGCAGTAAAAGAACCCAGACAGTGTAAGGTGCTCCGTGGATTTTAGAAACAGTAAAACTTCCCTTTAAGTCTGTTAGGTAAAGAGGTAAGCGGCTGCCAGGACGCTGAGTGGCTGCTCTTACCTCAGACTCTTTCTGCAATTCATAGAAGTCTGTCATTAAGCTCGCTGAAGGCTCTTTCCCCAGTTGGAAAACCAATCAGGGCTCAGGAGGAGCAATCTTTCTGTGCCGGAGCCAGAAAAATAGTAACAAGAAATGGCCAACAAATGACTTAAGCAGGGATGAGACCGACACGGCGATACAGCTCATCTGAGCGAGCCGCCTCTGGGGTCAGGCAGTCGCCGAGGCCGGGGCGTGGAGCACACGGCCACAGGAAGTAAACGTCTGAAAGAGGAAGTTGTCCCGAACAGGCAAGACCACCAACGGAAACACGTCTGACATGCATCTACATGGACAGACTATAAACTCACCAGCTGATTCTCACTTCAAACATCGGCAGAGTAGAAATGAGGGCGATACAATTTTGGAAAATAAACTGACGATGTGCTGTTTAGTTTCTCTGCAATATATTGAATAACTGTTTAGAAAGAATCCGTCACTGGAGACTGATTGGGGTGATTTTGTCGGGAAGTGCATGTGCAAAGAATATGAAACAAAAAACATCATTCTGACCTTTCCTGCACGGTGGCAAAAGCATCTGAATTTTACATTTACGTTCACATCTGGCTTTGCAGAAATGATTAAACGTGTGTAATCGCCTCACGATGCGGCAATAACTTCCAATAAGAGTGTTTCAAAAGATGTTCTATCAGACAGATTTCTCTTCAATCTGGACACAACCTGCAGCCCAGACACGAGGGGCCACAGAGTTTATGCAGGAAGCCCTGATTGTACATGACAGGATCAACAGGGCATAATAGAGAGCTGCTCAACTGTGATAAACTCACTGTGTCTGAATCCTCCACATGTGAGTCAGGGCACAATTAACATCAGAGCAAAAATGATTAAGCAAACTGTGTCTGTTTTAATATGGGAGGAAGGAGAGGGGTTACTGATGTGGACCAGACCGAAACCACCTCTATCACACATGTGACCAGTAACAGGGACAGTCCTCCGCTTGTGTCGAAATCATTTTTGTTTTGGAATTTCAAGAATGTGCGCTCTTCCTGCACCTGTGAGCTTCCTCCTCTGGAGCCAGCTGCTATTCATTTTAGTCACACAATCCTATTTATACCTGGGAAGTGAACGACTTAATAGGAACAAACCCCAGCGTTATCCTGGGTCTGTAGGCTGAGGATTGTCAGTCCAAAGGTCTCGTCTCCTGCACTCTGAACTAGTAAAAGCACAAGAGGTGTCCAAGCCTCTGTGATGTTCTGTGATGTGTACTTGCCAAACTCCTGCTCTGCTCTGCTCTAAAGCTTTTCAGGCAGCTCTTCCCTGTGCGTCGGCCTGCTGGGGTCGGAATCCGTCCCTGGGTAAACGCTTTGTGAATCTTCTGACAGCTGGAAGGTTTCAGCGGCGCTGGACAGGCGCCAAACTTCCACTGAACCGTGATCCCCTCCCGGCAGCACAGCGGACATGTTGTTACCATCCTCTGCAGCTGCGAGCTCGCCGACTGGTGTGGTTTAGTCATTTACAGGTGTACGCAAAAGGCTTTGTGGGTGGTGAGAGATCTGAGGAGCTCCTCTCTGCAGCTGCTAAACAATGCTGATCCTCGGAATGTGCAAGAGAGAATTATGAACCTATTACTCAGTGTGTGAAAATGATTTTCCGCATTAGATTTGTGTTTTCTAGAACATTTTCCTGTCGTGTGGAGCATCACCATGGTGAGTGTGTGTGTGAAGCGGAACAGGAGAATGGAACGGGACTCCTGCTGGGGCATGTTGATGAATTACCGATCCACTACTGCTGTCATGTTTCAGGTCCGCTCGCCAGAAATGCACTGAGTGAATAAAGAACTGTGGCTCGAGGAAGAACATTTGACAGGGCAGGAATGCGTTTGTTCAACTGCAGCATTTTCCACGGTAGGATTCATGCTGACTGCTAGTTTTAAAATGAATTTCATTAATTTGTGTTCTATCGTGTCTGAGAAGGCAACCCGAACCCTGACCTGGAGTTTTCTTCATTCACATCCAGACAAACTGAGGTTATTGCATTTGGCCCTAAACACCTCAGAAAGACACTATGGAACCAGAGAGCTGCTCTAGATGGCATCGCCTTGGCCTCCAGATCTACTGCAAAGAACCTTGGAGTTAGTTTTGACCTTCAATAGCCATATAAAACAAGTTTGTAGGACGGCCTTGTTTCTTCTACGCAATACTGCAAAAATCAGGAACATCCTGTCTCAGAGTGATGCTGAGAAACTAGTCCATCATTTATAACTTCTAGACTGGACTATTGGAATTCCTTATTAACAGGATGTCCCAATAACTCTCTTAAAAGTCTCCAGCTGATATAAAATGCTTCAGCCAGAGATCGTATTTCTCCTGTATCATCTTCTCTTCATTGGCTCCCTGTAAAACCCAGGATAGAATTCAAAATCCTGCTTCTAACATAAAACTCTCAATGA